GTCACCTTCGAGTGGCACCCTTAGGTATGGTGAATGGCCACGTGGCAGCTGGTGGCTGAGTGTCACAGGCAGAAGGCCCTGAGGTGGGTTCTGGAAGGTGCACAAAACCCACGTAGAGCGGGTGGGGGGGGGCGTGCAGGCCATGGGGCCAGAGCAGAGGGCAGAAGCCCCAGCCCTGGAGACCCATCTTGCGGGATGCGGTTAGGAATGTGGATTTCTCCTCAGAGCCGTGGAAACCCATCGGAGATTTTTAAGTAAGCAGGTGATGTGACCTGACACTATTTCAGAAGTTACCTCTGGCAGTGGTGTGGAGAAAAGATGGGGAGCAAGGGGCAGGAGTGAGCGCAGAGCCATCAGATGCAAGCGACGCCTGCCTGGACTCAAGCCTGGAGGGAAGGGAGACTACGTCTCAGTTCAAACCCAAGACTTATCCCTCCGATGGCCACGTTTGCTTTCTCTCTCTCTCTCTCTCTCTCTCTCTTTAAAAGATTTTATTTATTTATTCATGAGAGACACAGAGAGAGGCAGAGGCATAGGCAGAGGGAGAAGCAGGCTCCCTGTGGGGAGCCCGATGCAGGACTCGATCCCAGGACCCCGGGATCACAACCTGAGCCAAAGGCAGCCGCTCAACCACTGAACCACCCAGGTGCCGCGCCCTCTGCCAGGATGGCCCCGCTTTCTTAATGCTTCATGACTCCTCACTACTATAAAGGGTCTCTTTCACCCTGACAACATGGCCTGTGGGTATCATTAGCTCCATTTTACTGATGGGGAAGGTTGACTGAGCAAAGCAGGGATGAGACCGGCTGGCCTCAGAGTCGGATCCTAATTGGTAAGAGAAAAGAGACTGTTTTATAGACAGAGACCTGGGGAAGCCTTCATCTTCTCCCTCACTGTCTGCACATCTCTGAGGCCCCAGGCATTTTCCTCCTCTTTGATCTCCGAGTGGCTTAAGTATTCCAGAGTTCACAGGGGGACTGAGCAGAGTCTGTGGTGCAGGGGATGGTGGGCCTCTGCTCACAGCCACCGTGCCCATTAGCTGACGACAGGCTCCCTTGACACTCACTGATGCTGATTGACACTACTCATAATGACACCTGATAGGAAGCTCCGTCCCATATCCCTGGTCACTATCCTAGAAACTTAACTGAAAATCCCCAGATTCTCTCCTTTAGCTCAGGCCACAATCATGGTCCTTCTTTCTACCTGCCCATGCCAGAATGACAAGGAAAATCCCTATCCTCTTCATTCACCTCAAAGAGATTTGCAGTTTTCCCAAAGAAATGTTTCTCATGTAGGGCACCTGTCTGGCTCTGTCAGTAGAGCATGTGACTCTTGATTTCAGGGTGGTAAGTTTGAGTTTCACATTGAGTGTAGCGATTACTTAAAATCTTTTTTTTTTTTAAAGATTATTTATTTATTTATTTGACAGAGAGAAGGAGAGAGCACAATCAGGAGGAGTACCAGAGGGAGAAGGAGAAGCAGACTCCTCCACTGAGCAGGGAGCCTGACGTGGGGCTTGATCTCAGAACCCTGGGATCATGACCCCAGCCAAAGGCAGACACCTAACCAACTGAGCCACCCAGGAGCCCCTAAAAATAAAATCTTTCGGACAGCCCAGGTGGCTCAGCGGTTTAGCGCTGCCTTTTGCTTAGGGTGTGATCCTGGAGACCCGGGATCGAGTCCCATGTTGAGTTCCCTGCATGGAGCCTGCTTCTCCCTCTGCCTGTGTCTCTGCCTCTCTCTGTGTGTCTCTCATGAATAAATAAATAAAATCTTTAACAAAAATTTTTTAAAGAAGTGTTGGGGATCTCTGGGTGGCTCAGCAGTTTAGCACCTGCCTTTGGCTCAGGGAGTGATCCTGGAAACCCAGGATCGGGCTTCCTGCATGGAGCCTGCTTCCCCCTCTGCCTGTGTCCCTGCCTCTCTCTCTCTCTGTGTCTCTCATGAATAAATAAAATATTTAAAAAAATAAAAATCTTTTAAAAAATAAAATCTTTAAAAAAAAATAAGAAGTGTTTCTCATGAAGTAAATATCTATTATCCTTATGCCAGCACCACTCTGTTTTGACTGGTAGTAAGTTTTGAAATTTGGAGCTTGTAATTTTGTTTTCTTCTTCAAAATTGTTTGGCTGCTCTGGGTTCCTTGCATTTCCATAAGAATTTTAGGATAAACTTGCCAATTTTTTTAAACTTGTCAATTTTTGCCAAAAAGACAGAAAAATAGGATTTTAATAGGAATTGTGTTGAATCTGGGGCACCTGGGTGGCTCAGTTGGTTAAGCATCTGCCTTTGGCTCAGGCATGATCCCATGATCCTGGGATCCAGCCCTGCATCCCATTGCATTGGGCTTCCTGCTTATAGGGGAGTTTGCTTCTCTCCTGCTCCTGCCTTGCCCCTCGCTCCAGCTCCTGCTCTCTCTCTCAAATAAATAAATAATTTTTTTTAAAGGAATTAGGGACACCTGGGTGACTCAGTGGTTGGGTGTCTGCCTTTGGCCTGGGGCATGATCCTGGAGTCCCAGGATCGAGTCCCGCGTCGGGCTTCCTGCGTGGGGCCTGCTTCTCCCTCTGCCTGTGTTTCTGCTTCTCTCTCTCTCTCTCTCTCTCTCTCTCTCTCTCTGTCATAAATAAATAAATAAATAAATAAATAAATAAATAAATAAATAAATAAAATCTTAAAAAAATAAAAAATAAAAAAAGGAATTAAGTTGAACCTGTAGTTCACCTTAAGGAATATTGCCATCTTAACGTTAAGTCCCCTGAAACATGGGTTATCTTTCCATTTATTTAGATCTTTAATTTCTTTCAGCAGTGCTTTATAGTTCTTTCTCTATAAGCCTTGTACTTCTTTTGTTAAGTTTATTCCTGTTTCACTATTTTTTTTTAAAGATTTACTTATTTAGTCATAAGTAAATATTCATGGTTGAGCCATCCAGGCACCCCTCCATATTTGTTTGTATACATGGTGAAATGGTTACCATAGTAGTTAACGCATCTGTCACCATACATAGTTATAGAATTTTTTCATATGATGATAACTTTTTAAGATCTACTCTTAGCAACTTTCAAACACACAACACAATATTATTAGCTGTAGTCATCTTACCACACATGATCCCCATTACTTATTTATTTTATAACTGAAATTTTGTAACTTTGACCCTCCTTACCCATTTTACCTACCCCCTAGTTTCTACCCCTGGCAACCACCAATTTGTGCTCTGTATCTATGAACTTATTTTTTATTTGGGGTTTTTTGTTGTTTAGATTCCACATATAAGTGCAATCATTTGGTATTTGTCTTTCTCTAACTTATTTCACTTAACACCCTCAAGAAGCATCCATGTGAGCAGCCCCGGTGGCCCAGCAGTTCAGCGCTGCCTTTGACCCAGGGTATGATCCTGGAGACTCAGGATGGAGTCCCACGTCAGGCTCCCTGCATGGAGCCTGCTTCTCCCTCTGCCTGTATCTCTGCCTCTCTCTCTCTCTGTGTGTCTCTCATGAGTAAATAAATGAAATATTAAAAAAAATCCATGTTGTTGCAAAATACAAGACTTCATTCCTTTTCATTGCTGAATAATATTCCATTGTATATATAATACCACACCTTTTTTATCCATGCCTCCATAGACCGACACATAGTTGCTTCCATATGTTGGCTATTGTAACTAATGCTACAATGGACATGGAGTTGGGGGTGCATGTACCTTTCCGAGTCCCTGTTTTCATTTCCTTGGGATAAATACCCAGAGGTGGAATTACTGGGTCATATGGTACTTCTATTTAATTTTTTTGAGAAACCTCCACACTGTTTCCTATAGTGACTGCATCAATTTACATTTCCACCAACATGTTCGCTTTTTAGTCTTTCTTTCTTTCTTTCTTTCTTTTCTTTCTTTCTTTCTTTCTTTCTTTCTTTCTTTCTTTCTTTCTTTCTTTTTTCTTTCTTTCTTTCTTTCTTTCTTTCTTTCTTTCTTTCTTTCTTTCTTTCTTCTCTTTCTTCAGATTTTATTTATTTATTCGTGAGAGACACACAGAGAGAGAGGCAGAGACACAGGCAAAGGAAGAAGCAGGCTCCATGCAGAGAGCCTGGTGAGGGACTCAATCCCAGGACTGCAGGATCATGCTCTGAGCTAAAGGCAGATGCCCAACTGCCGAGCCACCCAGGCGTCCCTAAAAATGATAAAATTAATAAAACTAAAAGTTGGTTCTTGGAAAAGATAAAATTGGCAGAGATTTAGTTAGCTCTTTTTTTTTTTTTGGCCAGTCTAGTGATATATTTGTCAATTTTGATGACCTTTTCCAAGAACCAACTTGTAGCTATATTGATTTTCTCTATTTTTTTCTATTTTCTATTTCACTTATTTCCATGCTTATCTTTATTATGTTCTGCCTTAGGCTTGCTTTAGGATTGGTTTGCTCTCTCTAGTTTCTTAAGGTGAAAGGTTAGGTTATTGACTGGAAATCTTTCTTTTTTTCTAATACAGACATTAACAGCTATAAATTTACCTCAAAACATGGCTTTGGCTCCATCACATTCACTTACAGCTGTTGTATTTTGCTTTCATTCATCTTAAGGTATTTCTTTTTTTCTTTTAATTTATTTATGAGAGAGAGAGGCAGAGACACAGGCAGAGGGAAGCAGGCTCCATTCAGGGAGCCTGACATGGGACTTGATGCCGGGTCTCCAGGATTACGCTCTGGACCGAAGGCAGGCGCTAAACTGCTGAGCCACCTGGGCTGCCCGATCTTAAGGTATTTCGAATTTCCCCTATTATTTCTGCTTTGACCCACTGATTATTTAGGAGTGAACTTTTCTAGTTCTACATATCTGTGAACTTCCCATTTCTTCTGTTATTGTTTTTTTTTTTTTTAAGATTTATTTATTTATTATTTGGCAGAGAGCCAAGAGAGAGGGAGAGGGATAGAGAGAATCCCAAGCGGACTTCCGTGCTGAGCACAGAGCCTCTGATGCAGGGCTCAGTCTTACAAACTTGAGATCATGACCTGAGCTGAAATCAAGAGTCAGATGCTTAAGTGACTGAGCCAGGTGCTCCTTCTGTTATTAATTTCTATTAGCAATAATCATGCCTCGGATAAACCTCATTGGCTACGATACTGCCACTGTGCAGCTTGTTATTAATTTCTAATTTAATTCCACTGTGGTTGGAGAACCAACTTCATGTGATTTCAATCCTCTTAAATTTATTGAGGCTTGTTTTACGACCTAGCATATGGTTTATCCTGGAGAATGCTACATGTGCACTTGAGAAAGATGTGCATTCTGCTGTTGAGTGGGATCTTCTTTAGAATTCCATGAGGTCTAGTTGGTTTACAGCATTACTGATCTGCCTTAGTTGTTCTGTTATTGAAGGTGGGTGTCGAAGTCTCCATTATTTTGAATGGTCTACTTTCCCTTTAATTGTTAGTTTTTGCTCCAAATTTTGTTGTTAGAAGCATATATATTTACAATAATTTTATCTTCTGTTTTTAAAGATTTTATTTATTTGAGAGAGAGAGAGAGAGAGAGAGGCACAAGCAGGGGGAGTGGCAAGCAGAGGGAGAAGCAGACTCCCCGATGAGCAGGAAGCCTGACACGGGGCTCCATTCCAGGACCCTGAGATCACGACCTGAACTGAAGGCAGACACTTAACCGACTGAGCCGCCTAGACACCCCAATAATTTTATCTTCTTGATAGACCCTCTTATCATTATAAATGTCCTTCTTGTCTCAAGTAATAGTTTCTTGTCTCAAATTTTTATAGCTACTCCAGCTCTCTGTTGGTAACTCTGTGTGGCATCTATTTCTATCCTTTTACTTTAAACTTTTTGCGTCTTTTTCTTTTTTTTTAATAAATTAATTTTTATTGGTGTTCAAAACTTTTTGCGTCTTTGAGTCTAAAGTAAATTTCTTATAAACAGCATATAGTTTGATCGTGTGTTTAATTTTTTAATTTTTTAAATTTTTTATTTATTTTATTTATTTATTTATTTATTTATTTATTTATTTATTTATGTCGGTCGTGTGTTTAAATCTATCCCGCCACTCCCTGCCTTTGATTGGGCTGTTTGTACCATTTATGTCCAATGTACTCACAGAGGAGGTAAGATTTAGGTCTGCCATTTTGCTATTTTTTTAACGTCTTATGGGCTTTTTATTGTTGTTGTTTCCTATTTCTTGATTCCTGCCTTCTTTTGTTAAGATGGATATTTCCTAGTGCATCTTTTAAATTCCTTGTTTCGCCCTTTCACGAAGATGGTGCCGAAGGCGAAGGAAGCCCCTGCCCCTCCCAAAGCCCAAGCCAAAGCAGTCTTTGAAAGCTAAGAATGCGGTGCTGAAAGGCATGCACAGTCACAAAAAAAAGAAGATCCTTATGTCACCTACATTCCAACGACCCAAGAACCTGCGTCTCCGAAGGCAGCCCAAATATCCTTGAAAGAGCACCCCCAGGAGAAACAAGCTTGATCACTATGCCATCATCAAGTTCCCCCTAACTACTGAGTCAGCCATGAAGAAAATAGAAGACAACAACACACTTGTGTTCATTGTGGATGTCAAGGCCAATAAGCACCAGATCAAACAGGCTGTGAAGAAGCTCTATGACATTGATGTGGCCAAGGTCAACACCTTGATCAGGCCTGATGGAGAGAAGAAAGCATATGTTTGACTGGCTCCTGACTATGATGCTTTGGATGTTGCCAACAAAATTGGGATCATCTAAACTGAGTCCAGCCGACTATAAATCTAAATATAAATTTTTTCACCATAAAAAAAATAAATAAATAAATTCCTTGTTTCACTTATAGTGTTTTTTGGAATGATCTTCTTAGTGGTTGCTCTGGGGATGACAATTAGCAACATCTTCACTTAGAATAGTTTGGCTTTGGGGCGCCAGGCTGGCTCATTCAGAAGATGAAGAGCATCTGACTCGTTGATCTCAGGGTCATGGGTTCAAGCCCCACATTGGGTGTAGTGGTTACTAAAAAAAATAAATAAACTTAAAAAGAGAAAATAAACAATATAGTTTGGGTAAATACTAAGTTAATCTTAATAGTGCATAAAAACTTTGCTTTGGTCTAGCACACTCCCTTTCCATATCTTTGCACGATTATTGTCATACAAATTTCCTCTGTACAGGTTATAAGCCTGCCAACACAGTTTTGTAATTGTTGCTTTATGCAGTTGCCTTTTATTTTTAAAATAATGGACTTGAAATTTCATTTTTTTAAAGTAGGTTCCCTGCCCAACATGAGGTTTGAACTCATGATCCCGAGATCAACAATCAGATGTTTTACTGACTGAGCCAGCCAGGAGCCCCTATGCAGTTGCCTTTTAAAGACAAAAAATGAGTTAAAGACAAAAAATTACAAATAAAAAAAACCGTTTATACTTTCATAATATCTATGTAGTTACCCTTGCTGATGCCTGTCATTTCTTTGTGTGCATTCATGTTGTCATTGAGTGTACTTTCATTTCAGCTCATAGGGCTCCCCGGCGTATTTCTCATTGGGCAAGCCTGCTAATGACAAATTGTTTTTCCTTCCTGGACATGTCTTCGTTTCCCTTTGTTTTTGGAGAGCACAGGTTTTTTTTTTTTTTTTTAATTTAATTTATTTATTTATTTAATGATAGTCACAGAGAGAGAGAGAGAGAGAGAGAGAGAGAGAAAGAGGCAGAGACATAGGCAGAGGGAGAAGCAGGCTCCATGCACTGGGAGCCCGACGTGGGATTCGATCCCGGGTCTCCAGAATCACGCCCTGGGCCAAAGGCAGGCGCCAAACCGCTGTGCCACGCAGGGATCCCGAGCACAGGGTTTTTTGATCCATTCTCATCCAAAGCCTACTACAGCCTGGAGAAGATGGTCCAAAGGGCCAATAACCTTAGCTTTAGGTCCTTTCTCTTAGATTTATCCTGGCTCCACCAACTTACTAGCTGTTTGACCTTGGACAGGTCATGTCACTTCTCTGTACCTTAGTTTCCTCCTATATAAAATGGAAATAACAATGATGAGCTCAAAAGTGTTGCAGGACTTGAGTTAGGACTTGTAAAGTCCTTGGGGCCTGGTATGAGCCCACGACACTAGCTGTGACTTCATTTGCCAGACAAAAATAACCTGGGCGGTGGGGAAGGGTAAAGAAAGGAAGGAGGATTCAGCAAGTGAGCTCTACCCAGCTCCAGGGCTCTCCCCTAGGTTTTGATGACTGTCACCTGCTTCTCCTACAGGACACTAGGCTCATCGTCACAGGCAGTCTGGAAGCTAGCAGAGGCAACCGTAGAACCATGACATTGAAGGAAGCACATCCCATGTTGTAAACTCACACATGTGGCCTAAGATAATGGGCAAAACCCATTCTTGTTCTCTCAGGATACTGCACAGGTCTGGAGTGCCCACGATGACACCAGCCAGGATGGGCCTATTGGTGGCCTGGGCTTTGTCCAAGCCTCCTGTCTGCTGGGCAGCACCTCTGGACTATTCTGAAAGTCCGGGCAGGCCTGAGAAGGAAGGTGCCCATGCACCTACCTGGCCTCTGGAGGAGTTCAGAAAGCAGATGCGCATGAAAACCTCTTGCCCCACTGAGGGTCAGGCACCCTTCCATCTTGTATTCTGCACCTATGTCACTGCTCATGCAAGTCCCCGAGAATACCTACAGAGCTACCGGGAGGCAGAGGTTTGCCTCCACTCTGCCAGCCCCGAGCCAGCCCCTCACCCCTTCTCCATCCCAGCCCCACTTCGGCCCTTTCCTCCCTTCGAAACAAGCGACACAGCTGACTCGTGCCTCGAGGAAGGCCATTTATTTCCAAGATATAGACTATACTTTTAAGACAGGACTTTTCAGAAGCAGGAAATCTTAGTTGTCGCCTAGAGAGGTGTGTCAAGGACACAGTGAAAGGAGACATGCGCACGTGGGGCCAGAGGCTTATCCAACACTGTTACAACACTTTTTTAAAGGAGCAAAACATCTTTAAAAATCCTTATAAATTCTTTATAATATGTTACACATTTAGAGACAATATTTACAATAAAAGGAAGAGGGAGGGAGGGAGGAGAGTGAACTCTACTTTACAGCAAATCTTTGCATAAAACGAGAGGACTGATAGACATGGCAGTGGGGTTCACAACCCCACCTGGGCTTCCCTGGAATAAGTGAGGGCGTGTGTGGGGAGGCCTGGTGGTCTGAGGTCTATTTACAACATGTGGGGAGAAGGGGAGGGGGCTGGGTCCCGCCCATCCTGAAGGAACAGCCCAGCTCAGACCCCATAAATCAGTGTGTGTGTGTGTGTGTGTGTGTGTGTGTGTGTGTGAGAGAGAGAGAGAGAGAGAGAGAGAGAGGGAGGGAGGGAGGGAGGGACAGAGAACAAGAGAGAGACACCAGGGATGTTTACTACGCCCCCTCCTACAGGGAAGGAGGTGGGGGTCTGTGTGCCTGAGTTGTGGAAGAAGCAGGCACAGCTGGAAGAATAAAAGGACGGGCAATGGAGGTCTTGGGAGGGGGGCACACTGGACCCTCCCAAAACTGCTGGGGAACTGGCAGCTAGCTCCTCATGGTCACCACGCCTAGTAAGGGTGGTTTAGAGGTTGGCAAAAAGTTGGTGAGGGGAGTAACCCTGGTAAGACTCAGTCCTGCCTCTGTGGAGTGGCCCGAGCTTCCTTCTCCGGCTCTGACAAGCAGCAGGGGGCAGGATCCCTGGATGCACCAAAGGCAAGAGGCCCCGGGGGGGGGGGGGGGGGGGGGGGGCGGGGCGTGTGGTGTGGGGCAGGCCAGGAAGCAAGGGGGCGGGAGGGGCAGAAGTTGCCACTGAAACATCTTCTGACAGTGACTGGCACAGTGGCACACATGCCCTGCGTCCCAGGGACACTGCCCCCTCCATCTCCTCTCCCCTGACATACATACACCCCGCTCCCCTCAGCCAGGAGCTAGGAGCTAATGGGCAGGGGCAGAGGAAAGATGCCAAGAGCCAGCATCACCCTGTGTCTTTCCTTTAGTCTGAGACTTGGGGGTTCCTTAGCCACGCCCCGTGGCCAACAAGGGTCTCTAAGAGCAGCTCGGAAGGGCCCACTCGGTCACAGAGCCCCAGCAGCCCGTGCCTCTGGTCTCCCCGCTGCTCTGACGGCTGCGGGGGCCTCTCGCCTG